CCGACAAGGGTTCTAAAAGCAAAGCTGTTAAAGGAAAATCAGAAGTCCAGAACATCAAACAATCTAGAAGCCCTGCACAAACCGACAAAGTGACCGGGAATGATGGGGTTCCCAAGGCCACAGAGGGGGACATACCTTCTTCCAGTCCACATGCTGAAGATAATGACAGTTCTGTTGACAGCGATGATAGCATTGAGCAAGAGATCAGGAGATTTCTAGCTGAAAGGGCCAAGGTGTCCGCACCTCTCGCTGCAAACATCAAACAGGAAGAGGCCGTAAACTCTTTGACCTCAACTGCAGAGTTTGATGTTAAAACAGAAATTGAAAAGACTCTTATTGAAACTCCAGTGTCTGCTTCAACGTCAACCTCTGGTAGTAAAAGTGAAACCATAGCCACACCCACAAGACCCATGGATGCACCTGCAGAACTCAACAACGGACCAGTCCTGACACCAGGCAGCAATTGCATTATGGGTTTCAGGAGGACTGAAAGTCAAACATTTGAGATCTCGACCCCAAGAGATCCAAAGAACGGCAGCTCCCAGACAGGAAAGGACAGTCCGACAAGTCAAGGCATCAAACCCAACTCCTTCACAACACCCTCTGTGAGGTCAGAAGCGCCCCCTTCATCAGGTCATCAACACCAAAACTTGTTCCTGTTGAGGCCCGTTAACAGCAGAATGAGCGACGTCAAGGACCCTTCCTCGGCAGACTGTAGTGAAGTTCCTGTCAGCCGCCACAGTAGATCAGCCACTAGGATACCTTTAAAGGATGTCATTAGCTCTCTTTGTCCCTCACCTCTTTCGAAACCTCAAATTAGTTCCCCTGCAGATAACCCTGCCGTCATCACTGGTGACCTCTCGACCTCAGCACCCCCGGGGGGCAGGACAGAGGGACTTTACTTGCATAACCGCCTGAAAAGGGAAAGACACCTCTCCGATAGACTACACTTATCCCCCGCCACCTCACATCTGTGCCAGCCCTCACCTGTACCGCAGCCCCACCTGGGCAATGAAGTAATCCAGGTACAACGGGACCAGAGTGCTTTCCCATCACTCTCAGCAAAGACAAAACTGCAGGGCATCCAAGCTGAGTCGACAGAATCCACTGCAAGCTTAGGAGAAAAACAAAGGGAGGGAGAAAGTGTTAGCAAGGAAGAGAAAAAGCAGGAAGATGAGGAAGAGAAATGTGTTGATGAGACAGATGTAGAGTCAGATGAGGAAAGGAAAGATCAGAAGGCAAAAGACAGGAGGAATCAGCCCACTACTCAGTGAGTACTAGTCCTCTCCGAACACACACACATATCAGTTGAGGGAACATGGTCGCCAAAAGCCCAGTACCAATCCATGCTTTTGTTCCATCTAAGATATGAAAGACTTCATCAAATTGTTGTGGTCTTTAATTAGAAGGATTAATGAGAGTTTTGGTCATTGGTTTGGGCGGAATTATGGATCCATATCTGATCCACAGGTGTTCTGCAAGATTCCCAACCATACAGCCGAAATTTTCCTTCGGCTTTAAGCGTTAGTTGTGTTTTATTTTCAGCATTTAGCCTGACGGACTGCAGCGTCTCATCCTGCATTTCAAAATTTTTGTCTTTTTGTACTGTATTATTTAGGTTCCAAGGGACGTCACGTAAGACTTGTTTGAGTGTACCACATCATTTTTTGTATGTTTGTACATTTATAAATATATTTAAAAGCAGACATGTCATAAAGTGAGATTAAACTTTTTTTATTGTTTTTGTTGTTTTTTTCTCTGCAGCAGCTGCAGCATTTCTGAATGAAAACTGCTTTACAAACTTATTGTTTTGAAATTGTGACTACGAAAAATAATTATGAAAAACCAAAGGTTTATGAAAAGATGAAAATATAATCGGTGAGTTTACATAAGAGTTCCACAGGTCCAAAAACTCCCCCATCCATAGGAAAAAAAAAAATTCCTAGAAAAACATGGCTGAAAAGTAAATAAAACTGTGCTAATTCCATCTTCTAAACTTGTAAAAAGGACTGCAGAATGTAGAAGCCAAGAGAATGAAATTGTTTTAGTGTGCATCAATGCATATTCATTTGTTATACATTTTGCAATGGTTCTTAAGAACTACAACATTTTTTGTAAATATTTTGATATGTTTCAGAGTAATTCATCCACAATAGAACGACATAATTTTGACCTCTGACCTCTGAGAGGGAAGTCGCCTCTCTTAGTAACATTAAGATGTTCCCTGAGGATTCTTATTGAGGAAAATATCCTCGGTGCAACAGTGAAGGACTAAAATAGGCCTCGTTTGTGAAACACAGGCTAAATGAATTTCTGTTAAAATAGTCAATGAAGCCCTACTTGTGTAAATTGTTCTATTCAGTTTAATGTGATAATCTACGCAAGAATAGTTTCTACAAACAGTTTACCAAGAAATTTGTTCTGCTTGTGTTTCTTAATGAGCCCCTTTGAGTTTACATACAATATGTATATAGAATGTGTATGAAATACAGCCATTCACTTGGTATGAAAATTTTACAGAAAAAGGCAGTAGCATTGTATCCTTTGCCCTTTGGATTACTAACTTGCCCTCAACAAATGCATTTTTCCCTTGATATGTGCCCTTTTAACATTTTTTTTTTGTTTTGTATTTAGTTAGGAAATCTTTATATTCTTTTGTCATAACTAGGTTATTTTTGTACCACTGGACTTAAAACATTCAGAGATTTATGTCAGACTGCAAATTACAAGGAGGAAACACTCAATGTTTCAATATTCAGTCATCTTTCTCTTTTTGCACGTTTGCATACTTATCAAAACACAATTGTCAAGTCACACCTCTCTCTCTCTCTCTCTCTCTCTCTCTCTCTCTCTCTCTCTCTCTCTCTCTCTCTCTCTCTCTCTCTCTCTCTCTCTCTCTCTCTCTCTCTCTCTCTCTCTCTCTCTCTCTGCCCCCTCTCCCTCTCTCTCTCTCTCTCTGCACCTGTTTCTTAGTTCCTGTTTCTGTTGCTTATTATATGTAGGTGTTTTCCTATGTAAAAAGAATGTTATTTATTTTTGTTTATAGAAGAGAAGAAAGTAAAGACTCATGCTGACTATGCTGGGCATTGCCAGTTTTCATAAATATTTTGCAAAAAATAACTTTTTTGGTCCCCTGCTCTGCACAGAGAAAATAAACTCAAAACTGTATCTCTGAAGATGTATAATAAAAATTGACTTTGAGACACAAGGCTGTATTGTTCTTAACCGTGTGAATGTGCAAACATGCATGAACTTGTGAGTTCCCGTACATGTTTATGATCAGTATCTTGCTATATCTCTGCTATATCTTATTATACAGTTGCTTCCTTTCTCACAGATGTCCAAGGAAACTAAAGCTAATGCCAGTTTATGTGCGCACTCTTGTATAATCTGTCAAAAAAAAAAAACTCCAGTTTCCTTGCGATGTAAAAATAAACTACAGTATATCTACATCGTGTAACTGACTAGCGAATATTCAAAATATATATATTTTTTACATTTCTGTCCTGCTAAATGTTCATGTTTTTACTCTAAAGTAATTAAACACTCATCAAGACGTAAAAAGGAATGGGCTGTCAATTTTTACTCACAAAAGAAGATTGGGGGATTTCATAAGAATGTAATGTAATACAAATTTTTGTTGCATTATTGTGTCCACATGCTGTGTTGGTTGAACTTGTTGCATGATATATCAGACCAATATTATAAATAGATTTATAAAATGTTAACAGTAAAGGTGCTTTCTGCTATCCAATTATGTTTTAAACAGTTTGCATGTTTGTACATTTTTAATGTTTCGTTTTTACTTGAATATGTAAATTCTAGATTTGTTTGCTTCATCTTCTACACTGTAATGCTAAAGTAAATAACACGAATCCAGATGTGTTTGCAAAATGCATAAATGAAGTTTGGAACTCTAAACCGAATAGTGTTTTTAAAAAAGAACATGCTTTGTATTTTGTAGTATCAGCAATCAAAGGTGTTATTTGCAGATGCAGAGACTGCAGTGTATATGTATGTGTAAATATGTGTCTTTTGTTTGCTCCAGGTCTCTCTCCACCTCTATAGATCCAGGGATCTTACTAAGCCCATATATCGCTCTGGACACGGAGGAGAGGTGTCTGAAATTCCAAACCAGACGCCTCCTCATTCAAAAGCAGCTAGAGGTACATACAAACACTATATTCAAAATTCATGCATTTACTTGCACACACACTGATGTAAAACTGATTTAATACACTGATTACGTGTAAGGGAATATACAGTATAGACGTGATGGTTGAGTTTTTGAAGTGGTTAAGTCTCCGACCAAATCACTGACAAAATGTCCAAGCAAAAATGGCAATATCGGGCAAAACATGTTTTTATGCGTTTTGCACGTGTGTGTGTGTGTGTGTGTGTGTGTGTGTGTTGTAGGACAGCAAAACAGTGAAACGAAGGCTGCAGTTTGTGGTCAGTGTGCCCAGGTAAATACACTACTTAGATAATACAGGACATATTGTTCACTAAATTACACATAAAACAACAACTGATGGCTCACACGATAAATGTTTTTGTGTATAGAACTGTGATAATGTGATAGGCTTCCATACAGAAATGATTTAGATGCTTTCTGGTTGTTACGCATTAGTGGAACTTGTCCATGATGTTTTGTTTTATTACAGATAAACTGAAGACGCTGGAAAATATAATGAAAAGGAGGTTCTCGTGTTCAACAGAATATTGTAATATGAAGTATATTTCAAATGTAAGAATTGCATTTAAATTGAAGAAAAATCTATATATTTAAAATGTAATTGTTGCAGCACATTATTTAGTTCTGGATTTATATTTGTTTTTATTTTCTTGTTTTATCTATCGTTTTAAGTTCCATCATTTAAATTGTCCATTGTAATCAAAAGGACACTGGTTCTTTGAATAAAGTTTTTTTTTGTTCATTTCGAATCACGGGGCCATTGTGGCTCTTGTAGTCGATGTGGTGTGTAACGCAAATGTTTTTTATAAGACCAAAGTATTGTTTGGAACATCACTACCCACAATCCTCTGCGCTTTCCCGCAAGCTCAGTGGGCGGAGCTCGAGCGGAAACATGGCAGCGGGCGTCTTAACTAGAGGTGAAATAAAACGTGTTTTTATGTAATGCTAGTTTAAGTTTGTGTAAACCATATTAAAATAAGAATAGTTATTAACATATAATTACTTTGTAATCTTGCTTGTGATTTGTAATGACACAATAAATTACGTGTGAAACTACTACGTGACCTGAGAAGCCATGCATGCAAGATACTTTTGTTAAAAAATAAAAAAAATCCAACATTTAATGAATTGAGTATGATGATTTCAGTAACGCAGGTTCTCCGAAGACCTCGGTTGGTCTCTGCCGTGTTCTCATGTCACGGACAGACGTTCAGCTCCGCGGCAGCTGCAGTCAAATCAACGAGAGACACCGGTGATTATGATTCTTATTATCATTATGAAACCCAGCGACCTAGATACACAATTTCTGTCTGTGTATAGTATATTACAGGGCTTTTCAAACTGGGAGACACAAGGGAGTGCTGGGGGTCGATGGAAATTTTTAGAGGAAATACAGTGACTTTAAAAATTAATGACATTAAAAGAAATGATTAGATTAAAAATATATAAGTAAATAAATAACAACAATTGATTAAAATACAAAAGATATTAGGTTAAAGTGAACTATTAAATATAGCTAATTTCACTATAATTTGATTAATTATTTACATATAAAATACAGAGCAACCTTTTAAATTTTAGGATGGTTGTCTTAGAGGAGGATGATTATATTTGGGAGTCCGTGGCATCTAAAGATTGAAAACCCTTGGAATATAACAATTTTCATAGGTTTTGCTTTGCGTTTCCCACAATAAAATTTGTCAACACGTTTTACATCACTTTATTGTTTAACCACTATGCCATAAATTAATACAGATGTGATGTATCTTGCATTATAGCAGCTCGATATAGAATGATTCCTCTTTAGCTTATTTGGTGTATGAACTTAAATGTAAATATGTACCTGATATGTTTTCTGTAAAGCTGTAAAACAATATTTAAAAGCCCTATACAAAAAAAAACAAAAAAACACTTGACTCATACAATGAGAGTGCGAGATATATTTATTCATAACTAATATGCAGTCTTACATATGCAGCTGCTACAGAGAAAATCCAGAACTTCCCACTTACTCAACCAGACTATTTCCGCTTGTCTGAGCTCTTCACCATAAAGGACCTGTTTGAGGCCCGTGTCCATCTCGGACACAAGAAAGGCTGCCGACACAGGTGGGTAAATCACATGCAGTGTCTTTCAGTATGACTTGGTATTCTTAAAATTATTATAATAATACATTATTTTTAAATTACCTATTACTGGAGGAAACTACATGGAATATTTGTGTTTATTTAAAATGTTTTAAATTAATTTGTTACACAATTCAAATATCTATCTATATGTATATATACACAACTATACATATGTAAGTGTGTTTGTGTGGGTATATATATATATATACACACACATGCATACATATACAGAGTACCGGTCAAAAGTTTGTAAACATTAATATATTTAATGTTTTGAAAGAAGCATCATGTCACATGATCCTTCAGAAATTCAGCTTTGCGTGACAGAAATAAGTTATATTTTAAAGTATATTAAAATAGAATTGTAATAATATTTCTCAATATTACTGTTTTTTTCTGTATGTATGTGTGTGTGTGTATATACATATACACACACACACACACACACACACACACACAGTAGTGTTTTTAATGACCCTACAAGTATGAGGAAAATGTTTTATATTTTTTTTAAATATGAAGGAACAACAAAACAATAAACTTGGTTAGCAAAATAGGTTTATTGTACTATGCAAAAAATAAATGCATAGAAAAACAAAAAGCTCAGGAAAAAGCATACATTGACTACATCATAATCGGTTATTAATATTTTGTTGGTTCTCTCTTGTATTTTGCATGTGTTCTTCATAATGTCTTAATGCTAACACAATCTTAACACGTTTCTTTATAATCTGCCAATTTTCTTAGACTGGACATTACTTTTGGCCACTACTGTGTTAAATATATCATCTGAACTTTATTTGAGATCACTAAGCTTTGTTTCTCTCTCTAGGCTGATGGAACCGTATGTGTTCGGCTCTCGTCTGGATGTTGACATCATAGATCTGGAGCAGACAGCAGAACACCTCCAGCAGGCGCTGAACTTCACGGCTCACGTGGCGTACCGCGGCGGGGTCATCCTCTTCGTGAGCCGCAGGCGGCAGTTCGGGCACCTGGTGGAGTCGACGGCGAGGGAGTGCGGAGAATACGCTCACACGCGCTACTGGAAGGGAGGAGTGCTCACCAACGCCCCTATCCAGTTCAGCCCTGGGGTGAGACTTCCAGACCTCATCGTCTTCTTCTCCACGCTCAATAATGTTTTCCAGCAGCACGTCGGGATCCGGGACGCAGCCAAAATGAATATTCCCACCGTCGGGATTGTGGACTCTAATTGTAACCCCAGCCTCATCACGTACCCAGTGCCAGGAAACGATGACACTCCTGTTGCGATTGAGATGTACTGCCGGCTATTCAAAATGACAGTGAACAGGGCAAAGGACAAGAGGAGACAGATGGAGCTTCTCAAGGGTATTTCAGCCTCAGGATAAGGAAGGGCAATGAGCTTCAGCGGCGCTAATCACAGTGTTCGTCCACATAGAAAGCTCAGTGGAAAATGAGTAACTGCAGTTCAGATTCAGACATATTAATGTATTTTTCTTATTCAAGTTTAATACGTAAAAATGATCCATCCCAGAACTGAAGACGTCCAACAACTTAATTTGCCAATGTAAAAATCCAGTGGCTTTGAACTGAATATTTATTGGTTTTGTTTTGATTTCCATTGCTTACTTATGAACCCAATAAAGTTTCGCAAACCCATAGTGCGATTTTTACTTGCCGTGCTTATTTACGTAAATGTCAGTTTGCGTATTACTTTCAGCGGTTCGAGTTTTTAAAAGAAATTCATTCATTTTAACCATCTGATAGGGTCTGTCTTGCACAGTTTGTTGCCACTCTTAAGTTTAATGTCAGTACTTTAAAATATGTACGGACAGTCCCGGTTTTTGGTGTTCTGTTCCCGTTTCACAGCGCGTTCAAAACAACTTGCAAATACATTGCAAAAAAGCCCGACCAACATACAGCAGCCTGCTGGTTATAGGAGCAATCGTGTAGTGATTATTTTCACCCACAGATGGCGCTGTGAGCTACGCTGATTCTACTTGGTTATAAATGTATAAATAAATATAAATATATACACTCACCTAAAGGATTATTAGGAACACCATACTAATACTGTGTTTGACCCCCTTTCGCCTTCAGAACTGCCTTAATTCTACGTGACATTGATTCAACAAGGTGCTGAAAGCATTCTTTAGAAATGTTGGCCCATATTGATAGGATAGCATCTTGCAGTTGATGGAGATTTGTGGGATGCACATCCAGGGCACGAAGCTCCCGTTCCACCACATCCCAAAGATGCTCTATTGGGTTGAGATCTGATGACTGTGGGGGCCATTTTAGTACAGTGAACTCATTGTCATGTTCAAGAAACCAATTTGAAATGATTCGAGCTTTGTGACATGGTGCATTATCCTGCTGGAAGTAGCCATCAGAGGATGGGTACATGGTGGCCATAAAGGGATGGACATGGTCAGAAACAATGCTCAGGTAGGCCGTGGCATTTAAACGATGCCCAATTGGCACTAAGGGGCCTAAAGTGTGCCAAGAAAACATCCCCCACACCATTACACCACCACCACCAGCCTGCACAGTGGTAACAAGGCATGATGGATCCATGTTCTCATTCTGTTTACGCCAAATTCTGACTCTACCATCTGAATGTCTCAACAGAAATCGAGACTCATCAGACCAGGCAACATTTTTCCAGTCTTCAACTGTCCAATTTTGGTGAGCTCTTGCAAATTGTAGCCTCTTTTTCCTATTTTTAGTAGAGATGAGTGGTACCCGGTGGGGTCTTCTGCTGTTGTAGCCCATCCGCCTCAAGGTTGTGCGTGTTGTGGCTTCACAAATGCTTTGCTGCATACCTCGGTTGTAACGAGTGGTTATTTCAGTCAAAGTTGCTCTTCTATCAGCTTGAATCAGTCGGCCCATTCTCCTCTGACCTCTAGCATCAACAAGGCATTTTCGCCCACAGGACTGCCGCATACTGGATGTTTTTCCCTTTTCACACCATTCTTTGTAAACCATAGAAATGGTTGTGCGTGAAAATCCCAGTAACTGAGCAGATTGTGAAATACTCAGACCGGCCCGTCTGGCACCAACAACCATGCCACGCTCAAAATGGCTTAAATCACCTTTCTTTCCCATTCTAACATTCAGTTTGGAGTTCAGGAGATCGTCTTGACCAGGACCACACCCCTAAATGCATTGAAGCAACTGCCATGTGATTGGTTGATTAGATAATTGCATTAATGAGAAAATGAACAGGTGTTCCTAATAATCCTTTAGGTGAGTGTATAAACTCTGCTGGATTTATGATGCCGAAGACCGTTGAAACAAACATCACAAACGTGTAATTTATATATATATATATATATATTTTTTTTTATATAAACAATTACACTTGCAGCCTAAAATGCAAAATAACAAGCCAAATTAAGGATAGTAAAAGTAATTTTCATGCACAAATGTAACAAAACATTTGAAGTTAAAAAGGTTGTAATTCTAGGCTATACAGTATAAACAGCTTGTGAAAATGAAATGAAAATATTAAATACAATTATAAAATGTTAACATATTTGTTAAATAGTTTTATTTTTGTAATGTATTTTTGTCATAATTTTGTTATAATATTATTTTGAACTGCTTGGTATATGGTTACTATTAACTGTTTATATTGTGTGAGTTTTAATTGAAATATTTTACGGGTGCGGTGAATTGTATTAAAACCAGACCAAAAATCCTAATAATCAAACTAATTCATAATAATTATTAATGTTAATAATAATATAGGGAACCCACAACAATTAAAAAACAAAAACATTTAATTAATAGATCATAACAACTGAGATTTCAGTAATATTTTACACTTAATACTTAAATAGGAAATGAAATTTCCATTTCTGAAATGAGAATACGCGTTCTGACTACTCTAACCGTTATCATTACTGAAATGCTTGAAACATTATATACTTACTTGTGCTTTTAAAATACCTTTCTATAAGACCCCCATCCTTTTGTTTTACCTTTTTGGAGAGGAATTCAAGCATTAATTCGTGGCTCTGTGTAAATCCGCCTTTAATGTCCCAGCAGGCTGCCATACTTCTTACTATAAATATCTTTAGCCACTCCTCTGGACTCACTGGGTCTTTTTTCCTTCTGCAATGAAGGTGAGAACATCTACATATTGCCTACATATATCTTGATTTCACAAAGCAAAATAATTTGTGCATTAGGATTTTATTATGTAGACATAGGCATTTTATGTTATTTATTATATTGTATAAGATCTTGACTGTACATTAGAATACTTAGTAAGGGTAATGAGTATGGCGTCATAAAAATATATATGTAATAGTATTTATGATGCATTAATTAATCACATTAAATATGGTCGATTGGTATATAACGTTATGCAATGTTCACAGACATAACTCAGTCCAGCTTAAAACTGGCTTAAACCGCCCACGTGTTGCATGCAAATACCTTAGCCTGTAGTGTAATACGAAAACGTTGATCTACAGTGCAAAATCCTGGATTCAGCTGTTAAAATCCTGGATTCTGCTGTTAAAATCCTATAATGTCATGTTATAGTACTTGAGTTATTTTTATTCTTGGACACACATCGACGACGCAGCGCGTGTTTCAGTCGCGTGCTCGTGTCGGTAGGGGGCGTGAGCGCGCAAAACACGTGATTTCAACTGAAAGTGACACTCACTGCTGTCAATCACAATGCAAAATACTGTAACCACACTGAACCCATTGCAGTAAGGTCTACTCTACAGAAAACAATGCTGCACAGTTATAAATTATGTTTTAACTCCACTACAGACCCTGAATGAAGGTCTTTTTCTTCCTGTTTGGAAACCACCATGATTTTCCAGCATCAGGTAAAGATTTACTGTCAACAATATTTGTAACCATATATATGGTTGAATTTCACTTACTAGCCTACTTCTGCCAAAATTAAATCTTAAGGAAATTTCAAAGTGATCAGAGAAGAAAAAAATATATATATTATGTTATTTATAAAACACACAGTTGACATAGTTTTTAATTTTTATCATATTTGTTTTTAGATGAACAATTATAAAAGTTTGAGGTCTTAAAAGTTTAGTATTAAAGAAATTAATACTTTGATTCAGCAAGGATGCATTAAATTGATCAAAGTGACAGTAAATATATATATTTATATTTATATTTCATAAATATAAAAATATTTATATTTCAAATAAATGCTGAACTTTCTATTCATCAAAGAATTCTGAGTAAAAATATAATACGTTGTAATAAATGACATCGTAAAATATATTCAAATAGAAAACAGTTATTATAAATTGTTAAAATATTTTGATGACTAATATTATTTTTGTTTTGTTTTTTACTGTATTTTTTATTAAATAAATGCAGCCTAGCTGAGCAGAAAAGACTTCTTTCAAAAACCTTAAAAATATTACTGACCTCAAACTTTTGAACAGTAGTGTAAATAAACTGTATATGTAGCATTTTTTTAATTAAAAGTACAAGTATTTTAAATAATATATTAAGTAATAACATACAACTGCATTATAAATGCATACAAATATATACAATGCATATAATTTGTACAATAATTCTGTACAAATCAGATTTAAAAAAAAAATGTTTTTGCTGAAGTCTAGTCTAGACCAGTGTGTGTATCTTGTGTAAGTGTTTGTGTTATCTGGGTTTTGCCCTATGAGACGTAACTCTGGCTGTGATGCCACTGTTGTGCCAAAAGTGGGCAGAAAGAAACTGGCTTGTGATCGACCCTGCTGTCCTGCATGGTGGACCTGGGGCTTGGAACGAGGCCGGATAACCCAACCCAGACCTCAGTGTGTGTTAAAGCCCATTAGTCTTAGTCTGTTAAACTCTTTCCAAATACTCCATTATCCTCTTAAATTGTTTTTGTATTTGAATATTCTAGATTCTAACTGTGCTTCATGAACTCAAGACAGACACGGAATGGATGAAGTGGAGCTCCATTAACTTGTGACTTAAAGTGCCCCTATTATGCTTTTTCAGATATTACAGTTGTGACCAATCACAACAGACTGGGCCATCTGACCAATCAGAGCAGAGTAGACCAATCACAACAGACTGAACCCTCTGACCAATCAGAGCAGAGTAGACCAATCACAACAGACTGGACCATTTGACCAATCAGAGCTGAGTAGACCAATCACAACAGACTGGTCCATCTGACCAATCAGAGCAGAGTAGACCAATCACAACAGACTGGTCCATCTGACCAATCAGAGCAGAGTAGACCAATCACAACAGACTGGTCCATCTGACCAATCAGAGCAGAGTAGACCAATCACAACAGACTGGTCCATTTGACCAATCAGAGCTGAGTAGACCAATCACAACAGACTGAAGCATCTGACCAATCAGAGCAGAGTAGACCAATCACAACCGACTGGTCCATCTGACCAATCAGAGCAGAGTAGACCAATCACAACAGACTGGTCCATCTGACCAATCAGAGCAGAGTAGACCAATCACAACAGACTGGTCCATCTGACCAATCAGAGCTGAGTAGACCAATCACAACAGACTGAACCATCTGACCAATCAGAGCAGAGTAGACCAATCACAACAGACTGGTCCATCTGACCAATCAGAGCAGAGTAGACCAATCACAACAGACTGAACCATCTGACCAATCAGAGCTGAGTAGACCAATCACAACAGACTGGTCCATCTGACCAATCAGAGCAGAGTAGACCAATCACAACAGACTGGTCCATCTGACCAATCCGAGCTGAGTAGACCAATCACAACAGACTGGTCCATCTGACCAATCAGAGCTGAGTAGACCAATCACAAATGACTGAACCATCTGACCAATCAGAGCAGAGTAGACCAATCACAACAGACTGGTCCATCTGACCAATCAGAGCAGAGTAGACCAATCACAACAGACTGAACCATCTGACCAATCAGAGCAGAGTAGACCAATCACAACAGACTGAACCATCTGACCAATCAGAGCTGAGTAGACCAATCACAACAGACTGGACCATCTGACCAATCAGAGCAGAGTAGACCAATCACAACAGACTGAACCATCTGACCAATCAGAGTCTACTCTGCTCTGGTCAGAGTAGACCAATCACAACAGACTGGTCCATCTGACCAATCAGAGCAGAGTAGACCAATCACAACAGACTGGACCATCTGACCAATCAGAGCAGAGTAGACCAATCACAACAGACTGAACCATCTGACCAATCAGAGCAGAGTAGACCAATCACAACAGACTGGTCCTTCTGACCAATCAGAGCAGAGTAGACCAATCACAACAGACTGAACCATCTGACCAATCAGAGCAGAGTAGACCAATCACAACAGACTGAACCATCTGACCAATCAGAGCTGAGTAGACCAGTCACAACAGACTGGACCATCTGACCAATCAGAGCAGAGTAGACCAATCACAACAGACTGAACCATCTGACCAATCAGAGCTGAGTAGACCAATCACAACAGACTGGACCATCTGACCAATCAGAGCAGAGTAGACCAATCACAACAGACTGAACCATCTGACCAATCAGAGCAGAGTAGACCAATCACAACAGACTGGACCATCTGACCAATCAGAGCAGAGTAGACCAATCACAACAGACTGGTCCATCTGACCAATCAGAGCAGAGTAGAACAATCACAACAGACTGGTCCATCTGACCAATCAGAGCAGAGTAGACCAATCACAACAGACTGGTCCATTTGACCAATCAGAGCTGAGTAGACCAATCACAACAGACTGGTCCATTTGACCAATCAGAGCAGAGTAGACCAATCACAACAGACTGGTCCATCTGACCAATCAGAGCTGAGTAGACCAATCACAACAGACTGAACCATCTGACCAATCAGAGCAGAGTAGACCAATCACAACAGACTGGTCCATCTGACCAATCAGAGCAGAGTAGACCAATCACAACAGACTGGTCCATTTGACCAATCAGAGCTGAGTAGACCAATCACAACAGACTGGTCCATCTGACCAATCAGAGCTGAGTAGACCAATCACAACAGACTGAACCATCTGACCAATCAGAGCAGAGTAGACCAATCACAACAGACTGGTCCATCTGACCAATCAGAGCAGAGTAGACCAATCACAACAGACTGAACCATCTGACCAATCAGAGCTGAGTAGACCAATCACAACAGACTGGTCCATCTGACCAATCAGAGCAGAGTAGACCAATCACAACAGACTGGTCCATCTGACCAATCCGAGCTGAGTAGACCAATCACAACAGACTGGTCCATCTGACCAATCAGAGCTGAGTAGACCAATCACAAATGACTGAACCATCTGACCAATCAGAGCAGAGTAGACCAATCACAACAGACTGGTCCATCTGACCAATCAGAGCAGAGTAGACCAATCACAACAGACTGAACCATCTGACCAATCAGAGCAGAGTAGACCAATCACAACAGACTGAACCATCTGACCAATCAGAGCTGAGTAGACCAATCACAACAGACTGGACCATCTGACCAATCAGAGCAGAGTAGACCAATCACAACAGACTGAACCATCTGACCAATCAGAGCAGAGTAGACCAATCACAACAGACTGGTCCATCTGACCAATCAGAGCAGAGTAGACCAATCACAACAGACTGGTCCATCTGACCAATCAGAGCAGAGTAGACCAATCACAACAGACTGGACGATCTGACCAATCAGAGCAGAGTAGACCAATCACAACAGACTGAACCATCTGACCAATCAGAGCAGAGTAGACCAATCACAACAGACTGGTCCATCTGACCAATCAGAGCAGAGTAGACCAATCACAACAGACTGAACCATCTGACCAATCAGAGCAGAGTAGACCAATCACAACAGACTGAACCATCTGACCAATCAGAGCTGAGTAGACCAATCACAACAGACTGGACCATCTGACCAATCAGAGCAGAGTAGACCAATCACAACAGACTGAACCATCTGACCAATCAGAGCTGAGTAGACCAATCACAACAGACTGGACCATCTGACCAATCAGAGCAGAGTAGACCAATCACAACAGACTGAACCATCTGACCAATCAGAGCAGAGTAGACCAATCACAACAGACTGGAGCATCTGACCAATCAGAGCAGAGTAGACCAATCACAACAGACTGAACTATCTGACCAATCAGAGCAGAGTAGACCAATCACAACAGACTGAACCATCTGACCAATCAGAGCAGAGTAGACCAATCACAACAGACTGAACCATCTGACCAATCAGAGCTGAGTAGACCAATTACAACAGACTGGACCATCTGACCAATCAGAGCAGAGCAGGCTTTCAGAAAGGAGGGTTTAGAGAGACTGGGTCATTTAATAAACTGTTTCAGACATTGTGAGAAAAAGGGTGATGCTGCAATGTATATTAGGAGAAAAGTAAAATGTTTTTTTTATTACCTTGAATGCATGTAAACCTGTTGTAGGAGCCTCCATAACAACATTAGGAACCTTTAAAATAGCATAACAGAGGCACTTTAACACAGTACCCTGAACAGAGGTCAGAGGTCGACTGCAGAAAGCTGGACTAGTAAGTTTTCCTCCTCCAGTAAACACACAAACACACACAGAGAAAGTTGTTTTTGCTCCTCGAGGCGTTGCAGCACAGCTAGATGTGCCGTGCCTGTGTCATGAGGCGCATAGAGCAGAAGGGCGCCATAAATTACTTTGTACACATTATTCCACAATGCAAAGAATGAGTCCCTGTTTCAAGGGGGATTTTCTAAAATGATCTTACAGACCTGACAAACAGTTTGAATAATAGACCAATCTCTAATCTTTTCCATTTCCAAACAACTTTGCATGACTGTCATGCTGTTATCTGCAATATGTTTAGGTTTTAATTTATTCAAATTCAGATAATCAGCTATTTTGAATTGAATTAAACGTTTTCAAAAAGAAATCAGTAGAGCAACAACAAAAAAGTCTCGGGATTCCTGCTGATGAAACCGTATGATTTTGTGTGAAGTGTGTTGTGATTTTTACTTTCTCAGAAATGGATCTTTGCTTCAGTCTTTATTTTGCTTTAATAATTTCAGATACATGACAAATCATACGGAACGAGTCAGCTGATAGAAACATTTTCATCTGCTGTGTGCCACGTTTGTCTGACTCAACTGAGGTTGTTGATCTCCACCTGCTCTTTGGGCCAGCTGAACAAGATCACATGACCATCACCCACAACATCCTTCATTCTGATTGTTTTAACGAGCCATAAATTGTACAATTGTTTTCACTCGCATCAATAATCCAGTGTCAGTTTATTCAGTTTAATCCACAGTGAACTGGTCATTATCACAAAATAAATCTGTCTTTTTTTCTCCATAATTGATCATGAAAAAAGTAAAAGTTTGGGGTTATGAAGATAAAGTTTAATTCTGCAAGGATGCATTAATCACTGTAAGGCATTGTTTTAAAACATTCTATTTCAAATAGATGCTGTTCTTGCAAACTTTTTATTCAATATTGATAATAAGAAATATGCAATTCAGCATATTAGAATGATTTCTGAAGGATCATGTGACACTGAAGACTGGAGTAATGATGCTGAAAATTCAGCTTTACACAGTAACGGAAGTTCACATTTTAAATATGATATGCTTTAAGTACATGTAAAATATGCTTTAATTAATATCTGCATCTAGAGTCAAATTATTGATTTTTTTGGGAACTAATAAAACAAGTCTAAACTTTAGACTAAAGTCTTCTGATGTGAGAATTTTTTTGTCATACAAATATTGAAGGAAATAAATTTAAATAAATAAATAACAGCTTGTTTGAGTTTTCAGTCTTTGTCAGTCCAGCATGGGAATTTACATGTTTTGCTCCTGTTAGTAACGCATCCCTTTAAAGGAGAGGTTTTGGGAGGCCTCCTTGACTAATATATGCAGATTCCTTGTTTCTTTCTAAAGGTCAGGTAAAAGGATACGTGCATTTGGGTTTGACCTCCAAGAGCTGTACTTTTTGTGCCAGTACTTCACCCAAAAAACATTTAATAAAACACACGTACGCACAATTTGAGTTTCAAACATTTACTAATCATTGAATAATAGTTGAACAGAATGATGGAGGTAAAATAAATAAATATTTAAGAGCCTCAACAAGGCCAGATGCTAATAGTGCTGCTCTCCATACAGAGACACAGAATAAAATAAGAAACATGACTTAATAGTACATAAAATCACTTCATTCAACAACATGAAAAGCCTAGCACACACTAGAAGACAAAAGCTTGTTGCCCTTTCGAAATCAACTCTCGCATAGGTAAAGTATGTGTTTGAATCTGTGTAAGAACCACATTTCAGGATTGTTCCCACAAAGCCAGGCATCTTGAAAGTAAAAAGAAGAAAACAGGAGTTTTTAAATGTGCGCTTGGTCAATGTAAATACTCAGAGATGTACTTCCTGTTGGTTATCCGTGAAATGTGCACGTCGTTTAGTGTTAATGAGATGCGAGATGTTTATAAAAGTGTCTACTGCGAGTTAAGTATAAGTGTTTACAGTATGCACACGCACTTTCAGGTTTATATGCAAACATGTTTTACATACCTGCACATACAGTCACTAGACCGTGATTCCTCAAACTGTACTTTGTTCAACACCATATTGTTTAATGTTAAAGGGATAGTTCAACAAAATGAAAATGCTGTCAAAATTTGCTCGCCCTCAAGTTATTCCAAACCTGTATGTTTCTTTGCTCTGTTAAACACAAAAGAAGATATTTTAAAGAATGTTGGCAATCAAACAGTTGATGGACGCATTGACTTCCATAGTAGGAAAAAAAATACTATGGAAGTCAATGCCTACTGTCAACTGTCTGGTTACCAGCATTATTTAAAATATCCTCTATTGTGTTTAACAGAACAAAGAAACGCATACAGGTTTGAAACAACATGAGGGTGAGGCGAGTAAATGATAACAAAATGTTTATTTTTGGGTGAACTATCCCTTTAATAGTAATCATTTTCCAAACACATTCATACATAAACCCACATACCCTGAGAAACACAGTAAGTAATCTCACCGTTCAAGCATAGCAAATCCCATCACAAATGCTTCAGACCGCTCAGAAAAGGAATATCCTTCCTGTAAAACTACAACATGAGATAAAGCATCCTCCTAGAATACACACACACCAACACACCATACACTCTGTAAAAAGACATAGGCTATATATAACCTTTACTCATTCCATAACTCATACTCATTCCAGTGTTGACGTCTTGGTTGAGTTGCAGGTTTTGGCATAGAGTCTGGCATTGCGTGTCTTGCTTAAGGGTATTACAGTTGTAGAGCAAGACTGTCCTCTTGCAAACTCTTTCCTTGGGTTACTAATTAATGGAATCAACCTTTTATCTTTGTGCTTGCAGCCCCAATCCTTTTAACCAAAAGTTCACCGAGCAGAACTCAAGGTTTTGGGAAGGGGTTTTGCATGGTCAAAGAAAGTCCTCCAGTTGTCTTTGTTCCCAATTAGACTCTTAACTTCACCTTGGAAATTTCAGCCAAAGGAAAGAGACAGTTCCAATAGTTTTTAAATGGGTTTTTCTATAGCTTTAAAGGGGTTTCAGATGAATCAAGTAAAATGAAACCTAGTAAAATAGAGGGTGGGGATGTAGAGCAAGACCAATCTCTCAGAAACTCTCCTTATCTCCTTTCCTTGGTTTACTTCTACTTGGAATTGACCCTACTATTATTGTGCTTGCAGCTCAGATCCTTAACCAAAAGTTGACCAAGCAGGATTCAAAGTATAATTTGGGAAGGTGTAGTAGCACAGTCAAATGTCCTCCAATTGTTTTTGTTCCTTACTGGACAGTCTTACTTCACCGTATAACTTTTGGGCAATGGTGAACAAAAAAGTCTTCCGAAGGCGTTTCTATAGGATTAAAGGATCTTTAATTGATTCGCTTGATGAAAATATTAGGTGGGGATGTATGCCCTTTCTGAGCATACACTATATTCTCGCTCAAAGACGATTGATGTTCGACAGATTTTAAGTCCATAGTAGCTTGCAGAGTTCAGCTATTCTGTTGGCCCCTTCAGAGGCTGCTGTGCCGACCCCACTTTCGCTCTCAGGAAGTCTCCAATTCTCCTGCTCTTCGTTGCCTTTCTCTTGATCATCCCTATGTTGGTCTCAAGAGTACTTGGTATTCGAGATCTTCTTCCACAGTAGTGTTTTGAGGTTGTTCAGAACAAGGGAATGATGCACCTCCATCTGCGAGGCAAGCCCGCTGAGAGTCACACAGGTGCGTAGCTGTTTCTCCAGGTCCTCCCTCAGGTCTGATGGTGCTCCGAAGAGTAGGAAGTCTTGCAGTAGCGCGCACACCTTGGCCAAGTTGGGCTGCACCACCTCCACATTGCACTGCCTTGCCAATCGGTCGCACGTCGCAGTGCAATCTCGCCCGTAAGTGCAGTCGGCATTTGCCTCGCAAGTTCTCCCTCGCAGGAACCCCTTGACGGTTGCCTCCGATGCTACGCTCTGAAGGTCAGCCATTTTGAAGTCATAATTTGCATTGTAGCCAACCCTTCTCGGGCTTGCATCACATATGTAGAAGCTTCCGTAAACGCCATGAAACACCTCCTCCACGAACTCTAGCAGACCGATGGTTATTCGAGCCCTGCGGGGCCACGCAGGAGCGAGCCACTGGTTTAGAGCGACACCCAGCGCCTCAGGAAATACTGGCTGTAGCCAACCAGGCACCTCCAGCCTGAAGAGGGCGCTGTGTGCTACGTGTTCGGTCACGTAAAGGTCTCCACAGAAGCCCAGCAGGTGAGGAGCATGTTCTTTATCCTGCAGTGCCACCATCAGAACAAATTCATTGATCTGAAGCAAAGCCCACACGGATTTCGCCTCTGCTAATGAAACTTTGCCATCACCGTTGACATCAGCTAGAGAAATCACACGGGTTACAAGGGTGCCAAGAGACGACTGCTCTCCAACACTGTCCTGTGAAGGAATGAGAGGAGAAAGGGAAACATTTAGGAGCGGGGAAGTATTCACTGTAGAGAGCATTTTATTGGAGAAAATCTTAAAGGGGGGGTGAAATGCTATTTCATGCATAGTGAGTTTTTTACAGTCAAAGAGTTGGATTCCCATGCTAAACATGGACAAAGTTTCAAAAATTAAGTTGTACATTTGATTATTTCTGTTCTCAAAATACTCCTTCCTGGTTGTCACAAGTTTCGGAAAGTTTTTTCCGAGTATGGGCGCCTATGACGTCAGATGCGCCGGAATTTCCTTATATGGTCCTAAGGGCACTTCTCTCGGAAGGGCGCGCGAGCAGCTGTAGAGCGATAGCCGTAACCTATGCCCATCAAAGCGCTGTGCATCGGCTGCGCTGCAATATGTCACCAAAGAAGTGTGTTTTCGGTTGCCAAGGCAAGACAACACTGCACAGATTCACAAAGAATCAAGCGTTAAGGGACCAGTGGATGGAGTTTGTTTTTCCAGAACATCAACACAGTTGTGCAAGTGTTCTTGTTAGTTCCATGCATTTCGAGGATGATTTTTTTATAAACAAGGCCCAGTTCGAAGCCGGATTTGCTAATCGTTTAGTTCTCAAGGATGGAGCAGTCCCAACACTAAAGGTTAACGGTCTTGCATTGGAACCGCAGGCGGTGAGTAGAACTGCTTCAAATATCTGTGTGTGTCTATCGGCGTGTTAGCTCCTCGGTACAGCCTATCTTTCTTTTATAAATATAATAAAACTAAAGACTTTTTGGAGATATGATGGATGCAATATTACTCTATAGGTACTCAAGATTAACATGAGATTGACTGAAACTGAGTGTTTCATCCCCCCCTTTAATATGCATTTATGTACGAGATAGTTAAAAAAATGTGGGATTGTTTTTCAGTAAAGAAAAAAATAAGTAATTAATTTGCCAATTTTAGGTGTACACTAACAAACAGATTAGCTACCGACTTCATGATTACCAAGTCGGTAATGAAATTTAAAAAATTTCACGATACCAGCATTTCCCTCAAGAATTTTGAGCGCTGTTGAATGGATTCTTAAACACCTCTGATTGGCCATTGCATTCACACGCTCAACATATATGTCTCTGATTGGCTACAATGATAAACGCTTCAAAAACATGTCTTCACCGAGCGCTTACACGGATACACACGGGAGCATTTGAAAGCAGGCGTCTATCAGCAGATCCCTAATATTTTCACTGATAGACAGATCTGCCTGCTTTCAAACACTCCCATGTGTATCTGTGTAAGCACTCGGTGAAGACATTGTTTTTGAAGCCTTGTTCATTGATTGTAGCCAATCACAGACATATATGTTGAGCGTGTAAACACAATGGCCAATGAGAGACATATGTTGAGCGTGTGAACGCAATGGCCAATCAGAGGCGTTTAAGAATCCGTTCAACATCGCTCAAAATGCTAGAGGGAAATGCTGGTATCTTCACATTTTTTATGCATTAACATTAACAGACATGGACTAAAAGCCACAAAACGTTCATTATTATTTCATGAGAAGTTTAAATGACAGTCTTTATCAAGTACACATGTATGCGTGTATTCTGAAGTGTGCATGGCCATTTACAGCATTTGTGTGGGTTGTGTTTAAGCGTGTGTGTTTGTTGTTCTCCCCTGTGACACTGAAAGTGAGTGTATTGTTCTGGCTGTGACCTTTTCAAGCTCCTTCAGTTATTTTTGGCTTCTCTTCCCTGTTACCCCACTCCCTCCCCTGCTCTCTCTCCATTTTCACCCTTCTACAAGAGAATAAGGAACAGCCGAAAGCTTAGAGAGGCTTAGACTGTCTTTAGCTCAGTTTCTGCTTTGCTCTGCAGGACATGAACATCTCAAATATCAGTCACAATTAGGGCTGGGAGATACAGCGAATATTCTTCATATATTCCTGATCATTTGAATGGTGATTTAATTGAATCAATATTGAAAATCGTGCCATTAAATGTTAAACTTAAACAAAGATGGCATTAGAAATGTCTACACCACAACAATTCAAGTTCTAGATAAAGATGTAAAGTTCTAGAATTTAAGGAAAGGCACTTTAGAACTCTATGAGCATTAAACTGGTTTCTCTGTCAACTGCAGGTCTGGTTTACTGTGACATTTGCTTTTAATGTGAAAAATTGACAATAAAGGAGGTATAGTAGATGAAGAGACCTTGAGGAAGGAATGCAGCATCGCTCTGAATTCATCCATGGATGTTCCGCGGGTGGGTTTATCATAGAGGTTGTTGTCATGCAGTAGTGGAGTGTCAGGATCCGTTTCTCCCCTCATGCTCTCTTCAATTCCACACTTCACCAACAAGGCTTTCTCCTTCCACACAGCACTGTACACCTGCACCGCACACAATATATTAACGTGTGTGACAGATATATAAGCCTATTTAGAACCATAATTAAAAAAAAATGAAAAGAAAAAAATAATTAATAATACAAATTTCAATAAATCAAATCAAATAAATTCATTTAAAAATGTAAAAATAATATAGTAAAAAATATAACATTGCAGTATAGGAAAAATCACCATTGAGGATAATGCATATATATATATATATAAAAAAAGGTGAATATAAAGTAAAGTCCAGATGTATTGCCTCGGGAGAAAAATATGTTTTTTTTTTGTTATGGAAAATAAATGTGATGCAAAAACCTGGAAATTATCATTTCTTATTTATTTTCTTTAAGAATCATCCATGTATGTGTTTACCTGGTGTGTTGGTGACGTTGAAAGACAGTGTTGAAAAGACAGCGTTTTCTCCTCGCAGAGAGACTTACACACTGACCCCGAGATGATGCCTCTGCGGTAATGGTCACACTAAAACACACACACACAGGAAAAGGACAGGCATTAACCACAAATGCTACATACTGTAAATACTATATCTTGCCATCTATTCTCAATTTAACAGCCTTGTTTCAGGAGGACAAACCTGCCAGTTAGAGGACAGACGGATCATGATGTTATGATGGATTGGTGCTTGGGCAGATAATGACCCACAAATCACTCTAAAGGCAGCGTATTACTTCTCCTTTCTCTTCCTTCTCGCTTTCATTTCTGACACAGTATCTATCAAAGTGGCTGTCAACATGCATGTTGCAAAACAAGAGCTGAAAAGGCCTTTCCTTTCTCTGAGTCTAAACTATAACCGTGACACACAGATATGTACAGACGTGTATTCAAACATCCCTTTGAGAGGCGCTGAAAGGACTGGCAAATTCGTTTAATACAAGACGGTGAGTAGATGAGATCATTTTTTAGTGTACTATTTTTTTTTAAGGAAGAATATGTGAATATTTTACATCCTGTAGCTGAATATAGAATTTGTGATTAAACTCAATCACACCGCATAATTAGCCTACTGTTACAATAAAATATAGAATATTTAAATGTGGGTTCTATAACAGCATAATTATGAACTGCCAACTCTCTCGCTTCCTCCTTTTAATTTTCCAGTTTCAGCAGTTACTGTATGTGCAATGACTTCCTGTCAGTGACTAATACTAGGGGGCAAAACAGCATAAATATACCCCATCTGTGTGTATGTACTGTATGAGATCGCACTGAGGTGTTTGTCCATCATCCTGAATCATCATAAGACTCTTACTCTCTCTGTCTTAAGTGGCAAATCCTCTCTATTCTATGTTGATTCCACCTAAGTGGCAGGGAGTGGGGCTCATGGGAAGAGATGTCCAGCTCAACTTATGCATTATGGAGGATGCATGGACTTACGATGAGCATGGTACAGACGTGTCCTCTGCAGAGCTCTGAATAAGAGGAATACTGCATGTAAATCACCCAGCTGGCCACCAGAATCCCAAACCACGCCACCAACAGGTACTTGACCTTTACTGCAGGTAAGCGGGACTGAAAGAAACATAAATATACACTCAACAATATTTCACATGACATATATAAGCTCTTGTTTACATTACATTTTTGATTCGATCTTATTTCCAATTTCATATGTGGAAATAAATTGGATAAATATCAGAATTTTTCAATGTGCAGTGTAAAAAAAAAAATCATTATTTTTGTAATATCATCTTAACTCAACCTTTGACGTACTTTGACTATATATCATACAATAATTTATAACCATTTCTTTCTTTCCTTACAATAAATATATTAAGTATTACACAGAAAGGTCAAATAGTTGAAAAATAAGCTAAATGTAATATTTATTGATGTACATAATGAATCTTAATTCAACTATTGTCATAATTTTATGATATACAGGCAAATTATTTAGAATAATTTTATTTACACAATAACTACATTAAGTATTACACAAAAATGTGCATATAAAAATACGGATGCAAAATGTAATATTCATTTAAATATATCTTTCTTTTTAAAATGCATTTCAAATTTAAATTTTATATTTATCGATGTGCATTAGGTCTCAAATGTTTTGCTTGGAACAGTGAAATGAAGACTGGAAGTCCAAATGTTTGTTTTTCATATAAGAAAAAAAATATTATTAAATTACATGTTGAAACCTGATGATGACATTATGATGAATATGCCAGGGTGGAGTGTTTAATGCAGGATTTGTGCCACATTTAAAAGGTCATTTGAAAAACTTTTTTGATTTGAGCAGAAAATCTCAATAGGGCAAGTTTGCTTGTGATGGAACTATAGCTTTGCTACTTTGAGAAAGAAAGCAACAGAGAACGATTTGATTGGTCATTAGCATGTGTCCTAACAAGATTAAACATCTTCTCTTGGACAGTTTTCAGGTGTAAAAGGGCACTGCATGCCGAAGGCAGCAACTGTTCTCTGTGCTCGAGTGTGAAAGTGAGTGAACACACATATCTGATTACTGCCTGTTGATGACAACTGTTATTAGACGCCTAAATTCACTCTGTGTGTGTGTTCTCTGAAAACAAGGCCTGAACAAGCAATCCAAAAAATTCAGTTTTTAAAATACATTTGTGTCATGCAAAAATATGCACTGAATTTTTCATTGAAAAATAAACATTATGTAATCGTTTACTCACCCACATGTTGTTCAAAACTCACATGAACAACATTGCAATTGAAATGACATACAACTAATGAGGCTTTCAAGCTTCAAAAAGCATGCAAAACACCATACAAGTATCACAAAAAAGGTCATATGACCACAATCATGAAAAATTCTGAAATCTCGTCCTGACACCTGCATTTCACAAAAGTAGAGATGTCGAATGCATGAACGATTCATTCTTTTGAGTCAAATCTTTTCAATGAATCTATTGATCTCAATACCAGCCTGAGTGATTTATTCACAAATTGACAACAACAGACGCCCGCATTGACAAGCTCTTGTGTGAGGGGGTTATGACAGGGTGACCAACTAGTCCTGTTTTCACGGCCTGTCCTGGACGTTTTTTATAAAGTGATGAAAATGTCCTGGTTTTCAAAAAACTGAAGGAGGATGAGGAAGAAAAACAGGATAAAGAGAAAGAAAACTAAAGATATAAATATATTTTGTTAGTTCATTTTTGTAAGTTTGTGAGAGCTATTTTTGTTCAATTTGGAGGTATTTCTTTTAGTTATTTAATATTTTAATATTTATTTTTCTAATACAGAAGAGACATTATTTCTATCATTATTTCATTCATTATTTTTGAAACCTGTCATAATAAAACATGTTGAGTAACCTCTGAGAAGCCTATCTGAATTTGTGTCTTGTAATATAACCATTTTCTATCCATACAGAGGTGGCATAGCCTACTTTAAATGTATTGAAATTATTAAGGCATCTTTGAATAAACTCCGAGTATCATTTGAGTATCTCTTTGCCGGGCCGAGTGTCCTGGTTTTTGGTAATCAAAATATGGTCACCCTTGGTTATGAGATAGCCACAACTTTGGTTTAAAAAATTACAAAGACATTTTTATCTGTCTTCGGGCATAACTTATGGAAAAAAATAGGGCAGACACTTGACAAAGATGAAACTTTCTAGAGCGCATGTGTTGACCGCCTGCATTTGCGCACGTTATCAAATGGAGTATACTTTGCTAGCATACGCGTAAAAAAACTAAGTATACTTTGGGCTTTAGAATTAGGGTTTAGTTGCATGTAAGTATGCATAATTTATAGTTATATTACTACAGTAACTACATATAACAAACGCATTGTTAAAGTGTTACCAAATTAAATAGTCAGTTCCTTACACATGGCTTCAGAAGACTTGGAATACAGCACACAAGTCATCCGGATCACTTTTACATTTTATTAAGCTTTTGCATCATTCTTGAAGACTGAAAGCCTCAGTTCCCATCCATTGTAATTGCATGGAATAAAACACCAGTAAAGCTCTAGTGCTTTTGTTTAACTTCAGGCTGAATCTCTGCTGTTTTCGTTCTCTTGTCATCTGTGCCATCTTCAGTGCAAGGAGTTGACCTACACAGTTTTAACCGGTCACAGTGTGCACTTCCGCTGAGTGCACTTATGAAAGAGAGATCTTAGTGCGGATTTACAGAAATATTGTCAACATACGGTGTGCATTAAGCATCAGTCGTGTGTATGTGTGTGAGATTAGCTAAAGATGGGAAAACAGTATATTAACTGCAACATTTAAAATGACAGATCCTCTTTCTTATGATTTATGTAACCTTTCTTTTAACAATACAGACGAAGAATGCAATGCATATAAATCAGGAGATTCGGTGATGGTATCAAATGGTCATACCATGTTATATGATAGAACAGGGGTGACCGGGGCTAGTTGTCACACAGACTGTATTTCAGTAACTTAGAAGTACAATTACACAAATGTGTGTTTTCAACAGAAGTTTTTTATATGTTTACATGTTGCCTTTAGCATATTTGCGGTTTCATTAATAAGTGTGCAATATATATATATTTTTATTTTTTACCTTCTTTCTTCTGTGTGTGTGTATATGTATATATATATATATATGAACACTGTTGTTTACATTTTTCTGAAAAGCCTAAAATAGGTTATTTACTGGCAGGTTCCCCCTATAAGTGGGCATGGTGTCACAAAATGTCAACATATTTCTGGGCAAAAATGTTTAATAGCTAACAGAAATTGACTTTCAAAATTAAACCTGCCATGAGAAATGTCAACATATTTCTGGGCAAAAATGGTAAAAATATTTAATAGCTTTACTGTTTAATAGCTAACAGAAATTGACTTTCAAATTTAAACCTGCCATGAGATTAAAATTCTATTAAAATTCATTAGATAAAAATTCTAACTATCCCCGGTTCCCCTTATCATAGAGCTGAATGACTTCCATTTTTATGTCTCATGGTATTTACACAGTATTCATGGTAATGCAATGCCCAGGAAACATATTACCTTGATTAAAAATATGGTGATATACCATGGTACTTTTGTGCTACTGTGTTATTTCAATTCCTTTAAAAGGTTTCCGTAGGAAAATTATTCCCAAACATCGTCATTCGAGTGAAGAAAGTTACCTGTAAACCCTTAGATAAGGGACAGAAGAGCACCAGGTGCACCAGCCTGCGTAAACTCCTCGGCATCTTCACAGTAACACTGATGATGCGCAGCACAATTACAGATTCCTCTCCAAACACGCCGTCACTTTCTCATCTCGTTTTCTCCTTTACAGACGACACGCCAGCGGTGTTCTCCGGCACAATAAAGAGCAAAAATAGTCATTTGCTCTTATTTTATAGCACCGTGCTTTTGTTTCAAGATGCAATCGGCCGTGCGATGGAGAAACATCCCATGCTGGTGGTGCTCAACTCAAGGGCACGCGCGCGCACACGCATACATTTGCACGCGCTGCATCCAGAGACGCGCGAGCTTCAGGCATCATCCTCGCGCGACGAGGTACGACACGGCCAAAGATGCTTTAAAAACTAGCACTGACATTTGCCAGATATTTAGACAGATGTTTGATTCTCCTTAAGATCTGCGCGAATCGTGTGGAAGAGATGGCGTGAGAATGAGAATCACTGACGATCAGCTGGAGATTCGGCCTCTCTGTGACTGCACAAAGCGCCTTAAAGGGGAAGAGACCCTGATTTACACTACCGACAGAAAACAAACAATACTGTCCCTTTAAATACGACTGATTACAATGGAATAAAAATAAGATAAACATCTCTTTAAATGTGATAAAATACATCTATTTCGATAAAAAAAAAAATACATTTAATGTCGTTTTTGAAAAAAGAATAATACAATATAGCCTACTATCCCTTGAATTTGACCACAGACAATAGGATATAATTAAGAGAAATATCCCTTTAAATGTGAAATTTAGAATAGAAAAATATAATAAAATATAATAACAAATTAGATATTTTTTTCGGTTTTAAAATATCTTTAATTTCGCTTTTTTATTTATTAAAAGACAATATAAGAATACCCCTTAAATTTGACCAAAGACAAAAATTATATTGCAATGATATTAAAACCATACATGAGGCTAAATAGAAAGACATTTTGAATAAAATATACATAAAATAAATAATCAACAATATTATATAGAACAAACAAGAATAGGGAATCCCTTAATGGAATAGAATAGAACAGAAAAAGATAAATCTATCATGAAAATCAGCAGTTTTTTGCACATTCGTAAGTACATTTGTAAGTAATTGAAGTGTCAAATGCATTGTTGAATAATAATTCTAGAACATTTATGAATAATAGAAAATGAAACACTTAAATTCAATTAAATTTTAGTTATTATAAGTTAGATATATATCATTTAGAATATCAAGTTATATCAGCGTGCATAAACATTCTTAAATGTATGGCCATAGCGGTTAAAAAAACTGCATTTATTTTGCAGAAGAAATTTTTTTTTTTAGTTGTGCTTTGGAAAACCCAAATGGATGAATATGGCTGTATGTATGAATGGTTCTTTCTCACAACTAAAAAAAGAGAGATTTAATTACCCTATAACTCATTAAACATTCATAGGCTTAAGAGATATAACCAATTTATACGAGAAGGATCTCAAGCTGACTGAAGATGTTATAGCTATCCATTAATAGACAAGGTACTTAGGCTACTTAAAAATATATTCCGCAACAGCAACCCATAATAAAATGAGAAATGACCCTGCACAAGATAATGCTTTTTACAATGAACTCGGTTGGAGAGCTACATAATATGGCAATTTATCTGTTAAAAAAAAATACCTTACTCACCTGCTGAGTATAAAAACACCATCTCCATGTGGCATTTACAATCCCTCAGTTCTCTCCAAAAAGCCAAACCTAGGTTATTGTTTTATTACGAGGTCTGTCGCGTTCTCTTTTTGCCAGCAAGGTTGGAGATTTAGCTGTGTCAACCTTTCTTGCTCGTTGTGAAAACAAACCTATGCCACTCCCACAACATACATGTGTCAAAGTAGCCGGAGCAACTTTTCTCTACAGTATTTACGGATATGACGAGCACAAACAGGTGTGACCAGGGGCGGAGCTAGACTCTCAGTACAGTGGGGGCGGAGCTTCATCATGGGGCCCTCTGCTACCAAGTCATTTTAAAATTAAAACCGTAAAAAAAAAAGTAAAATAACTGATGAATGCATATGTAATAATGTGTCACTTGTTGAGCCAAGTAAGCTTATATGTTAAATAAAACACAAAGGCTATCTCGTTCTTTTCAGAGAACAGTCTGTTTTCTTTCGTTTTGAATTGTTCTGTAAAAGTACACATTTCGAGCTTTCTATAGATATATTACTCAGGTGTGTGAGGCAAGTAGGCCTACTCTGTGTTTCGGTTCATTTATGACTCACAAGACGAGCTCCAGTTCACGCGCCGGAGACTCGGTGTCGTGATTATCTATTGTCGGCTATATTTACTTCTTATTTATTAAATCCAGGCAATTGGTTGATGAAACATTGATTAAAATTAAGATACAATTAATACAAAACGAAATTCGCCTTAATGAATGGCTTTGTACTTTATGTTTGATGTCTCTTGGAAAATTTTAAAGCAGTCTTTCAGTGCCGCTTTCAGAGCGCTCACGTCCGTAACGGGGAACTGTCACGTAACATTGTTTTTCCCTCATAAATGCGAACACGAAAAATAAGACAAAATTTATATTTTGTTCTGTGGAGAGCCAGCCCTTCTTCATCCGGTGGGTAGTATTACTTTTTGTAGCTACTTTTGCCACCTAAAAGTTAAAGTTTTTTTGTGTCACGTCCATGTATTTCCCTCATATTAAATATAAAACGCATGTGTAGACTGATATTTTTCTAATGTCTGGAGTCTGGACTCCTTTATTAAGGAGGATAAACAGACGTTTCAATATATTGGTTTTAAATGCATTTTCTGAATTTACATTTCAATTTTTTTTTACCTCACATGTTACGTCCATAACGCTGGAATTGCCCAATTTTGAAGAAATTATCCTCAACTAGTTTTGTGGTGTAGGGCTATGTATTTTATAATGTTAACTTCAAATAATAGCCTACTAATAGTAATTTAAAAATGTGGTATTGGATTTGGACGGGAAGGATAACGCTGGGAGTTGGAGTGTGTCACGATTCTGCCTTCTCACACACATTTCGGTTTCATATCACATATCAGCCATCATATCTAAAGAAAATGACAAAAAAAGTAACGCACAGTAATTTGGATCAGTAATTTTAATCTGATTACTGGTTTGGAAATAGTAACGCGTTTGGAAATAGTAACGCGTTATTACTCGTTACTGAAAAAAGTTACCGGCATCACTGCTGGCGAGGGCCCCGTTCCTGTCCAGTGACGCAAGATCGGCGGCGTTTGAGGGGCCCCTAATTGGCACGGGGCCCTGGGGCGGCCGCACCCAAGCACCCACGCTATCTCCGCTACTGGGTGTGACGTATGAATGCAATTTCCTGCAAAAACCATCCCGATTATCCCCAAATAAACACTTAGCTTACCATAAAAGGCTTACCATCAGGGAAAGACAAAAACAAGACTGATTGATGATGTATTGACTATATAGTTCATTATATTTTGTTTATTTTGAACGAAAAAAGTGACATACCTTTAAAGTACTGCATGTAAAATGTGCAGGCCACTTTCAGGTTGTTGTTGTTGTTGATTGTGTCACTGGTTGTCCTTGTCTTATGTCAAGCCTTCACATTCCCTCTACAGTTAGGGTTGTACTTGCAGAGGTTTCATCTTGCATGCAGCACAGTGAGAGTGAAAAATTACGATTGCACAGCCAGTGTGTAAAAAGAGTACATTCACTGCAATGCAAATATAGTGTGCATGCTCACAGTGTGCTTAGTTCTTATAATGTGACAAATAGATTACTTAAAAAAAATGTTTTAGTAGTATTTACTTTCTAAGGAAGTTAAAGGCAAAATTATGTGCATTAATTTCTTGCAATTCATGTTACGGACAACAGAGTGCGGTAAAGGTTCATGGAAAATTGTGCCAGAAACAATAAGGAATGCACAAGAAATAGTCCATATCTCTATATAATAAAACAACTCATCTTGCTAAATTTCTGGATAACCTCCCTTATATAAAAGGCCACAGTGTCTCATCAGTGTGGCAACATCTATGGGGACAAAGTTTAGCTCAAAATTGTCACCGTTGCTGGTGATGACATGATGTGCTCCCTTGACCATTACTCTCTGACGTCATGATCGGAAGCAGAAGCTCTCCTGTGATTGGCTGTTTAGCTCAGCTGAGAAAATGTCGATTTTTTTTTTTTTGTATTTTTGTGACATCAAAAGACAACTCTTTCCATGTACTAATCGATAATAAACATAAAGATTGCCGTCACCTTTTAATTGACTCAGAATGTGTTTTGGAGGCAACAATTTTCATATTGACATAATCATAGACCACATATTTGCAGGTATGTTACTAAAGCAATGGCACTAAAATGACGACATAGCCTTTGTCCGGGAATAAACACACACACTGGCCCAGAGCTGTGACTGTGGTCAGGTCACATTTAAACAGCTAAATGACTCTGTGACCACATGTAGCACTGAAGATCTACTGGATCAGATTACACACCCTGATTAATCATTTAATCTTGTTAACTGCAACTCCTTTCATCGGTAATCTGGCTGTTCACTTCTCAACACTTGGCATCATGATTTTTCCTAGCATTCTAAAATGACAAGATACATTTTATGGTAGGCTAAATAGTTTTGCAACAGCACATTGTGCAAATCAAACTATAGGGCTATGGCAGGGTTAATGTACTAAAATATCAATAACACTGTGACTGGTCTATTGAATAACTCGTTTTTATTTTAGTGCACAGGAAGGAGACATTTTTGATATACAACGGATTTTTTCTCTCTTTTTTATTAAAATATCCTTTTTTATTATTTAAACAGCCTATGAAATAACCACAAAGATTTAGAGGAAAAAAAGTATACACAGCATGACGCTTTTTCCAATAGTAATTTACACAGTCAAATCAGATGTAAATACTTTAGTTCAGTGCCGGTGGGATCCGTGCTCTAGACTTGTCCCAGTAACTGGATCGTCCTGTTAACAGTGCTGACCATTTTCATAAGACAGTTACATCCTCAACTGTTCCAGAACGTTCCATTGAGGTATTGAATACACACTCCAAATGTTGCCACAATCTAATATGTTGAGTAAACTGTAGTTTGCAACAAACACACATGACAAGGAAATACAAGCAACCAGTACCCGGAAACACACACATCGGAGGGATTCAAACTTACAGCAAGCTCTTTTGTGCATAAAACAGAGCGTGGGGAAGTCCGAATCATTTGAGAGAATCGGTTCGTTTCAGTGAACTGGTTCAAACAAAATGGTTAACTGGTTTGATCAATTAATCATCACTCTTAGTGTTCTAGTAGCTATTTGTTTAGAAGCCCAGAATAATATTTTTCATACTAACAATGTGTCGTGAACATTTAAAATAAAAAATGTAAAAAAAAATGAATTCTGCTTTTTTTGACACAATAATAACTTAATCATTCAACTACAACAATAAAAACATTGCATTATTATTATTAGCCTACATTTCAGTTATACGTAATTTTTGTCAGTGTCATAAAATGTCTTAAAAGTAACAATATTTTTTATGTAAAACTATGTATTATTGCATATTGGTAATAGTTTTTTTTTTTTTCTTTTGCAGAAAAAAATAAAGTGCCCGTAATATTAACAAATACACTTTTATTTACTTTATTTAGCCCTACTTATATTTAACAGTTGTATCAAGCTAACTACTATTATGGTAGTTTGCTGTGTTTGGTAATTAATTACTACCATTTACATCTTCAACAGTGTAATTGGATTACTGTAATCTAATTCTCTCTAAAGGGTATTGCATTACTTATTATAAATCCCATCAACCTCAACCAATTGAACAATACAAGGATAGACACGAAACTGCCCTATTAATTCTTTCAAATAAACAACAGGCCTACCATTGCATAAATTATTCTTGAACTGACCAAAGTGTGTAAAGGGAGGTTACATTAACAACATAAATTTTAACATTAGGTTTTTATGTTAAATCCACTATTGTTTTATGTAGAATTGTTGTAGTCTATACAGTATTTAATGCAATTACATGAGAAGTAACTAATTCAGTTACAGAAAAATTAAGAGTAATCCCTTACTTTATCTTTTCAAGGCAGAGTAATTAAATTACAGTAATTAAAATACTGTTGGAAAGTTTATGTTAACTCTAGACAGAATAATTTCAAAGAGTCGGTTCAAAAGAACAATTCGCGAATCGAACACAGCTAGTGACACTCCATACGGCCAAAGGTTACACTCAGAGGCGCTCTCAGTGGATAACCCACGCCTGGCTCTCTCCATAAACCTCCGGTTCTGGTTGACATCCCCCTCGTGCGCGTGATATTACGTAAACGACTAGCAGGAGGATCGGTAAAGTTGCTCAAGTGTGCGACCTGGACGTGGTGTCTGATGTAGACTCGGTTCTGAGTTGGTCTCGTACGGTCTTCCCTCCGCTCCACACCGCTGGCCTTGTATCATTTCTCGACAGCCGGGAAAGAGGCGCTGGTCGCGGGTATGGATGCCGTGTGGATGCTGCCTGTGCTGCTGGTGCTCCCGCTTCTGTTATGGACCAGCAGCACGTTCGTTTACTATTTCAAGAAGTGCTTTTATGTGGCGTACATGATGCTGCTGGCCGTTGCCACCATACCGTTGTGCATTCTGAAAAGCGGCGGCAGAGACATTGAGAATATGAGGTTAGTTGTCAACAACGCAAGTCACACAATGTTTCCTTTCTACTCTCGTGCATTGATTCAGGACACTGGGCAGCCATTATATGTGGTTATTGGATGTTACACCGAAAATCTGGCTATCATAATATAGATTAAATTGTATTTTAAGACTGGAACATATTGCTGTACTGTACACATGCAATCACCTTTTTTTTAATCGGTCAAATTGCTTGTTTATGTACCCACATATGTTTTTTTATGACTGAAATGCCATGTGAATGCATTTGTAAAGGAATGCATTGCATCCGTTTACCCCGGACAGATGTTCGGATCACGGTAGTGAATCTTTAGCCAGCTCGCTAAGAACAGTGTACGCGAGAACACATATGTAGCAGAGAACAGGCCAATGTATCGTATATTTAACTCGAAATGAGAATTATTTAAGCTCGGTATGTTTTATCTACACAAGATAATGTAAATATGCGGTTAGAGAGCGTGCATATTCCACTTGTGTGTGTTTAACGCTATCTGGTTTAGCGTCTCGTGCAAGCCAGAGATGGCGACCTAAGCGTGTGTTTATTTTCTGATGATGAAGTGGAAAGGTGTGAAACGGTTGTGGGTTGCTTTACTAGTTAACGTTACATGCTCTAGTTCGTCAGATACAAGACTTCCTAGTTGTATTAATGAGGCCATGATGGATTGGTTTCATGGCTCAGCTGGTGCAGAGTTCATCCTGGTCGATGGTGCTAGATTAAACCAACAGTCACACGTTTCACACAGTGGACAGTTGATCGATGAAATTGCGGATTCCATGCCATCAGTTTAGAATCAATGTTCGCGCCGAAAATAATTTTGAATGATTTCCGTAACGGTCTAGAATGTCGCTGCCATGGTAACGGACGTTACCTAGGTCATCCTGTCAGTCAAAGTCAAGATTTAAACTGATTAGCAGAAACTAGGACTGTCAATACATTAAACTTACAGGGTTATTAGTTCACCCCAAAATGAAAATTATCCCATCATTTACTCAACCCCTAAAGTCATCCTGTATATGACTTTCTTCTTTCAGACAAACACTATCGGAGTTATATTAAAAAATATCTTGGCTCTTTCAAGCTTTATAATTGGAGTGATTGGTACCTGAGATTTTGAAGAGAAATATCCATAATTATAACTTTATAAACTGTAATCACTGGCTTTCGGTAATGCCCGTCCGCACGTTCACGAGAGAGTCGAGTTCCGGCGTATGAGGCTTAGCGTAAACTCTCATGGTTCAAACAAGTAGGCCTGGGCAAGAAACGAAATCTCTTCTGACATTTCTCTTTAAAAATTCCTTCTTTGTGACCGGTGTTTTGCTCTATCCTCTGCGTTTCTGCGTTTGTCAATGCGTCGGTTCAGAGGTCACTCTTCGGCTGGAAATAGACTCCTGTACGGCCGTACCGGACGCCAGTCATACTCATTATGGTTTACAAACTTATAAATATGGAAATTGTCTTACAAAAACGCATCGTTTCGCTTCAGAAGGCCTTTATTAACCCCCTGGAGCCGTATGTATTACTTTTATGATGGATGGATGCACTTTTTTTGGGCTTCAAAAAACAAGGTACCATTCGCTCCCATTATAAAGCTTGGAAGAGCTAGTATATATATTTAATGTAACTGATTGTGTTTGGCTGAAAGAAAAGTCATATACAGATTCACCTAGGATGGCTTGAGGGTGAGTAAATAAAGGATCAGTTTAATTTTTAGGTGAACTAACCCTTGTAAATTAATTGTGAATGTGTGTGTGTGTGTAGTTTTATTCAATGAAATAGAATAAAGCAAATACCTAAAAGATTTTTTAGTTTAGTGGTTTTCTTGATGATTAAGTGACCGCAGAAGTAATTTTTTAGCTATTTTACTTGATTTAATTGTATTGATAATTATTTTACTCAAGCATGTCCACCCTATTTGGGAGCCACTGTTCTAGAATGCAACCGTGGCATGTAAATATGAATGTAGTAGTAACTCTCATTTACATCTCATTGAATATTTTTATTATAGTTATTTTTGGCCTCCCATAGACATTATTCACTGCTGCGCCATCTTTGGTTTTTTAACGGGTATAAAAGGGAGGCTGTCAGGGATAGACATACATCTCTTCAGTGGGTTGTACTATTATTATTTAATGTGTTTTTGGATTGTTCTGCTGACGAAACACTGCAAAAATATATTTCCAAGAGATTTCAGTAGACAAAAAAACTTCATACAACATGAGCTGTGGAAAATTATAAGTGATCTGGGAGCTTTATACTGCTTTTTAACTTTCCAGAATGCCTTGTCCTGTCCTGTAGACTTCCATTGTAAGTTAAAAAACTGAGGTGTGAGTCAAAATGATTTCTAAATCTAGAACTGAAACTGGAACGTTCATTTAAATAGGACATTTAGTCCTTTATTGAAGCATTTTTACAAGTTGGGGTCCTTGACAGAAGTAAGTTGGTAGACTTTTTTTTATTTTTTTTTATTACAAATATAGCAAAATGATTGTGTATAATAAATATCAAGATGCTAAATTACAATTGATATGAATGTTTTCAGGAAATTGTATATAAACCTGCATGAGTGTGACCTTTTTAAAAGTACAAATATTCCATGTCTCTATTAGGAGGCCATAAAATCTGCATGCTAATGATTAAAAATAATAGCAAAAAGCTGTTTTTAATGGAGTATGCCTGCCTTGTCACACACCATATGCCATGTCAAGTTTATGTCAACTGCACACATAGGCAAGTCACCTTTATTTATATAGTAATATACTTTCAGGAAATACTGAAATACAGTATTCAGTGAATATAAATACATGTATTGTATTTATACAATAGCAGATTGTTCCAAAGCAGTTTTACAGTGATAAACAGGAAAATCAATATGCAAACAGAATTCAACTCTGCTGTAAAGCAGCTCTAAAAAGACAAGAGTGTCATTGTTCAGTTGAGGTCAATTCAGTCATTGTTAATTCTGTTCAATAACTGTAAAGACTAAAGAGCATCATAAAAAAGACAAATTATTTAAATTCAGCTATAAAGCAGCTCTGTAGAAAACAGTGATGTCATCATCCTGCTCAGTTCAGTTCTCATCCAATAGTGTCAGTGCAGTCAAATCTGTCAAATCGCTGAATATTAAGTGTCCCCAACTAAGCAAGCCTTGACTGGCACAGACAGGATCTCTTGTGTGATATGAAAAGCAGCCTTGTGTTTGTGGCCTTCACTAATAGTGTGCATGGGATATGAAAATCAGAGACCTGAGGTCCGACTGCATATGCACAAAAGTTCCCGTCAGCGCCTCTCCCGATGTTCTGCAGATTTTAAATATGTTTGAAAGAGACTATTTCCCATGTTTACTAAACTATTTCTGCTCTTCATAACAGTCGGTTCATTCACACACAGGGTACAATGACCACGCTGGGCGCCATAGAAAAACAGACATCCGTTTATTGCGGTCATTAATGCAATCATCTTTCCCAAGTGGAAGTTCACTGATATTTTATACTGCTTGTTTAGTGATTCAAGCTATCAGTGCCATGTGTAGGGTTTGTAGTTCCCAGGTGAACCGGTTCAGATGAGCAGGTCTGTTCTGGACCGTGTTTGAATGTGGGGGTGTGACGTTACCCGGTAATTACGCCAGGAGAGGGTGAGCTCATGTGTCAAGGCTAGTGTTGACTTACCGTACCTCAACTATCGAGTGTTGACGTGTTGTCATGCGTGCAAAACACTGTACATACTAGAATCTGATATGTGGAAACTAACTTATGCAAGCTTAAGTGTTTTGGTCATGGCAATTACGGGTTTAACTGGATGACCTAACACCCTTTCTCTCTCTCTTTCTTTATCAGTGTGATAGGAAAGAGTGATTGAGCCACATGGGGAGATGATGCAAGGATTCTGAACTTATTGGGTGAAAGGGGAGAGCTGACGAGGCTAATAGAGAGAGAGTCAGTAGAGCAGTTTCCCAACCACTGTGACAGGTTGTCAGGTGTGCCGTGGAGAATGATCAAATTCCAGAAAAATATAAATGAAAATAAATGCCACAAATAAGAATATATTGTCGCTGTCGGGTGGAAACTTTGTATCTCTATATTCCGTCGTTTTTATTTTATTTTAAGAATCAATGCTACTGGTCATCCTTTACCTCTGTATGTGGGTTTTACAACCAATGAAAAGTATTAAAATGAGCTTGTGACTCCATTGGATCCTCAAACTGTCAGTCAAACCTCATAACTCCACCTACATCTATCATGAATGAAGTGCTGCACGCAGGTTGGAGATGGAACGCTTCTTGTTTGCAATGCTCAGGTAAACCGAACTTATGTTTGAAAAAGAACAGTGTTTTTACTCAAGAAACGGTGGGAATCTCTAGGCACCTCACGATTCGATTCAGAGGGCTCCGAGTCGATGCTAAAGCGATTATCGATTATCTGAATCTTTGTGTGTGTGTGTCTATAAATATTTTGCTTTAAAAGTACAAAGTAATGACCCATAAAGAATTAACGTTCAATATATTTTATTAACATTGCAAAGAACCAACAGGAAAATAAATGTGTGCCTGAACTAGCAGCATACTTGTAGTATATTAATAATATAACAACGACCGGTAGCTAGCCTACAGCCGAGGGTTTTTCCTCCTGAGTGGAAACGTGTCATATGGCTTCATCATGTTTCCGAAATATTTTAGGAAAATCCTTTCCCCCTTCAACTTCATAGAAGCCAAAATATTCCCACACATCAGCTATTAACGAGGAGGGTGTTTGGATTTCGCGCGCAGCCATCGCTCAGCGTCAAGGGGGTAATCCATCAGCCGGAAGTTGAAGCCTCGCGGGAGCCGCCATTGTAGCAGACCATCACCTGCTGTTAGCATCCCATTGACTCCCATTCATTTTGGCGTCACTTTGACAGCGAATAACTTTACATCTGAGGTGTTTAAAGACTCCATTTGTCCATGATTTATTTCTAGAAAAACACGACAATTTATAAAAGGCTCCATTACCT